AAAGCATGAGAGACGGGGAAGGTCCTCTCTCTCTCTTAAAACATTTTTTTAAAGAGAGCCACAAAAATATGACAGCCAGAGGAAGGATGGGGAGAAAAGCGGCAGCCCCAAACTTTAAATTCCCTGAATTTCTCCGGGGCTTTGCTGAGATGCTCTTAAATCTCCAGCTCTTCCTTGCATGCCTTTGCGCTCAGTTTCCTTCCGCCGTCTCCTCCTCGGCTGCTTTGCCTCTTTCTCGCTGACTAGCAAGCACATTCACTAAGCAGTGCTGCTGCTGCTGCTACTGCAGCTCCTCGCGCTAGCTCGCCCGCCCGCCTCCCGTCCCGAGCTCCTGCTCCCGCGATCTCGGCTGGCAGTTTCTGAGCTCGGAGCGCTCGGCTCTTCTGTTTTTGCGCAGCGACCTGCTCCTGCCAACCAATCGCCTCGCCGTCACAGCCCCAGGGCGGCAGCCCATTGGATGTGCCGCACGTCCAGCAGCTGTCGTCACGGAGCAAAGAGGGAGGAGGAGGAGGAGGGGGGAGGAGGGAGGGAGCCCGGGAGAACCCTGCGCTCCAGTCGACTCGGCGCGAGGGCGCGCGTGCGCGCCGGTCTCAGGCAGAGAGAAGAGCCCTGCCACTCCCGAGGCGCTTGCCGGGGAATCTCTGCCTCGGAAAGTTACTATTCCCCTGTCGCGGCTCCTGAGCGAGGAGATCACCTCTCGTCATCAATGCAAACCATGACGCTAATAAACAAGCTGCTCCGTGGAGATGGAATTTCCACCTGCTGCCGACTTTCCCTTTCGCCTTTGCCTATTTCGGTACCTTTCTGCTCTGGAAAGCATCGCCAACAAGGAAAACTTGACGTACATTTCCCTTACTTATTTTTCTTTTCCCCGCGGTTTGATTTTCCTTTGCCGGATCGTCTTTGACACGCAATGGAGAGCCACTTGGAGTTTCCACCAACTGCCTGCTGTGGCTTTTTTTGGGGGGGGGGGGCGGTCCTTAACAGCAAGCATTTATCTTCTAATCGATTTCACAAAACAAGCGCTCGCAGAGAGATGATGACACTGAATAACAATATATGGTGAACAAATTTATCCACAGGCCACCTATGCTACTATGAACATCGTACCCTCTATGGCTCAGCGGCAGGGCAGAGCAGAAGGTCGCAGGTTCAATCCCCACCGCACCCAGGTCCGGCTGGGGGAGTTTCCTGTCTGAAATTCTGAAGAGGAGCTGCCAGTCAGTAGAGATCATCCTAGACCAATAGTCTGACTCGGTTTCTATGTCTAGCCAAGAATCTGACGGGATGTGGTTTTGTTGTTGCTTTAAAAAACAATAATTGTAGATTAGAGAGCCCATCCGATGAAAGGCAATATTCAAACATATTACAAGATCATACTACAAGGGTAGCCAAGATGGTGCCCTCCGGATGTTATGGACTCCAACTCCCATCAGCCTCAGCCAGCCTTGCCAGTTAGCAAGGCTGATGGAAACTGTAGTCCTTAACTCCTGGAGGGCACCACGTTGGCTATCCTGTGTTTCCGAGTTTAAATATAGGTGCTTAAATGGTTATAACCAGTGTCCCGTGCTAGAACTGTAGAAGTGGGGAGCAGGGGTGCCAACTTGAATAAAATATTGGGGGTCTCCCAGGTAAGCCCCACCCTGCATAATCGATCACATGACCCAGTGCGCGCGCCGCCCCCCATTTGAATGGCAATGCTCATCAACTTTAGGGGGCACCCTGAAATATTTTATGGGGGTGCAAAGAGTTAGGAGTTGGCTCCTGTGGCTCATTACCTTGTTAACAGCCATCCTAGTTACTGATGAAAGAAGATTATGGGGCGACATGCTTTGGCTAAAACTTGGGGTGGGAGGAGTGAAACTAGTGAATGGACGGACTACCAAACTTTTTCTCCCACTGTCGATGACTCTAGCCTAAAACAAGTACACTCAGAAGTTCTGCCGAGTTGAATGGAGCATCTTTCCGAGTTGGGATTTCTGTTTTGCTTTTTTAAAAGTGCTTTGGAGGCAGTGACGGTGGAAGAGATTACGATCAGCGAGGCTAAAAAAAAGCGAACTGGTGAAATCCCCTGTTCGACGCCCCGCGGGACAGAGTCTGTTTACTACAATTGGCTCTCCTGCCTTCGCGCAATGACTAAAGGCTCCTTTACGCAGAGGAATTGCACTATAGCAACTGAACGTAGGTGCTCCCTTGGCGCAACGCTGCCTTGCTTTTGCGCCTTATTGTTGCACGTTAATCTTTGAACTTCCCGGAGCCGCGAGAGGCTCCCACTCGCCTCCCTAAAAGCATCTTCGCGCTGGAAGGAAAGGACGTTCCCGGGTCGTTGTGTCTAATACCCCAGCTCCCCCCCCCCCCGCCCGCCCACTCGCAGAGCGTCATAATTTATTACATTTGAGGAGCGGAATCAAAGAGAAGAGGGGCCAGCGGTAGGAAGTGGCCTGTCAAAGTGCAAAATGCAGCTCAGCAACTAAATGCTCTCACGTCATTTTTACAGTACGATCTTCTATTACTCGGAAGTAAGCCCTTGGGCTCATTCTCCGGTGAACATAGGCTTGAAATCCTACGCATCCCTTACCTGGGAGGGAGCCCTATTGAACTCAACGCGCTTACTTGCGAGTAGGCGTGCATAGGCTTACACACTGGGTAGTGCTTCAGCGAAGCTCCTCGGTCTGAAGCAAGAGGTTTAGGATTGCAGGGGATGGTTTGACGTCACAGGATGGGAAATGTACCCACCAGTCATTCCTCCAAGTTGCCCTCACGTCTTCCTCTAAAATCAATGCAGAGTCAATCGGAAATGGCCACCGAAACTAGTGCTCTCGGGCTAAAAGTGGATGACCGCTACCCGATTGCTCCGGAGTAAGTGGCTTGTGAACGGCAGCCTCCGTAGACCATTCCCACAGTGCTTCCAAGGGCTACCTTGCTTTCTAAATACACATGCGGGGGCGGGGGGCAATGCATCCGTGTGTACACAGATTCGAACGTTCGGCATCTCTCTCGAAGTCGATTCGAATCGGCTTCTCGCTCTCCAGCCGCAGACGCGGAGCTGAGGCGGGCGCGCGCGGGCGCTTTTCTTTATGATGCATTATAATTGGGGGCTGGTTGCTTGAAAATGTACAAGCGAGCCCTTTGGCAACGCATAGCGCACATTATCGGATACCTGGTGTCCTCTGGAGGAGGATAGCCTTTTGATCTGCAGCCGCTTTATGGCTTGGCTCTAAGCCCGCTCATTAATTCGGGCCGAGGGTCCATTTGCCCAAGATGGTGTAAAAGCGCAAGAAAGGATTCCGGAAAGGATATTTAAGGAGCAGTGGCAATATTAGATTGGGGACGGGGCTGGTAGTGAAAGAGGCATGACCCTAGATCTGTACAAGCATGACTTCCCCGTGTATAATAGTTCGTCTCCGACTCCAAATAGCCCCAGCCTCCTGGGGAATCTTTCTTTTCGCGAAGACGGCTGCCGCCGCCACGGCCGTCTCCCTCTCCTCCTTTCCCCGCCTCGTCTGCCTATCGCCGCCAGCCACCCATTTCTAAGCATCCTTCCCTGCCTAGCTGCGCGCATCCTTCTCTTCACTGCGGGCTGCTCTCCTCCTCCTCCTCCGCTTCTTTTCACGTGAATGGGTCCTCCTGTCTCTGAGCAGTTAAAACCCTGGGTTGCCTCTCTGCCAGAAAAAGAGAGAGTGGGGGTGGGGGGTGGAGGGGAGCGACAGACAAAATGGCTAGTCCTTTCACAGCTGCAGTAAATTTACGGGCGGCCAGACAGAGCCAAAAGGAAAACCGCGGCAGCGTCACACGCTGGCAGCAGGGGAGGAGGGACCGGGGAGCCGGCTGAAAAGGGACCTGTGGCTTAGCCGGAGAGGCTGGTGGGGTGGGAAGGGAGCCTGCAGGGTGCCTTTTTGAACCTCCCCACCGGATCAGAGACTCCGCTGCACCATCAGCCTCCGTTATGTACTTAACGGGAAAGAAATCGCCGTCGATTTCAACACCCTCTCTCCGGACTGGCAAGGGACGCGCGTGTGCGTTGGGTGGCGAATGCTTATCCGGTTTCCTCTGTCCTGGTTTTAAAACGCTGTCTTATTGTGGCACCTTGGTTGCCCCGAAGAGAACACCCGAGCCGCCCCTGCCTGTGTGTCAGTGTATACACGCGCGCCCCCGCGCACAAGCGTGCTCGAAAGCTCAGTGTCGTTGACTCCGACGCTTAAAAGGAGAGGAAAGCGGGATGCGCCGCCGAGAGATGGATTGGACGGGTCTGGTGGTAAATAATCCACGATATCTACCGCCACGACGTTTTAAGTTTCCTCCAGCTCCGCAGGGGAAGTGGCGCGCGCTTGGCAAATGTAAGCAGCAGGCTCCTCCTAGCGGCCAGAGCGAGCCACTGCTGGAGACGTGACGTTTCGTCGAAAGAGTTGTGAGTAGCAACAGCAGCAGCAGCAGTGTGGCTCCTCCGTCCGTTTGTATGAGCAGCTCCCCTGCCTAGACCTCCGGCTCAAACAACCCTCCTCTCTTCGAAAGAGCCCATTTGCATTTGTAGCTTCGCCTCTTCAGCGGAGAAGCGAACTCCTCCGCGGAGGAGGCCGCACTGCATGCGATTTAGTCCCCTTGGGCTATAAAAACCATTGCTTTGCCTTGGCTCTGTCTCCCTGTCTGAGCGTCTTCACCTTCCCCCGGCCCCCTCCCTCTCGCCTGGACGTGACTCTTCCCCCTGTCCCCTTTCTTCCTTTCGCGGGCAGCGCCCGCCGATTTACGACGAAAGGGGAGTTACATCAGACAGCTGCTCGGGTGGGATAACGACAGCTATAAAGCGTCGTGGTGTATATAGTGGTACCTCGGGTTACAGATGCTTCAGGTTACAGACGCTTCAGGTTACAGACTCCGCTAACCCAGAAATAGTGCTTCAGGTTAAGAACTTTGCTTCAGGATGAGAACAGAAATTGTGCTCCGGCGGCGCGGCGGCAGCAGGAGACCCCATTAGCTAAAGTGGTGCTTCAGGTTAAGAACAGTTTCAGGTTAAGTACGGAGCTCTGGAACGAATTAAGTACTTAACCCGAGGTGCCACTGTATTATAAACAGCACGGTGCCACTCGAAGGCAGTTGTGGCCACAGCACAACTGTAAACCCCACGCCCCGGCGGCTCACCAGCATCGTCCTCGAGGGAGCACGACCCTCCAAAAACAGGGGCAGTCTACCGTCCCGATCACAGCTGAGGCTTGAGGTGCTGCTAAGCTTCACTCGCCTCCTTCAGACCAGGGTAACAGAGTTACTGCGTCACACATGTCCGGATCACTTTTGGATCTTAGGTGACTGATTTGAGTATTATTATTATTTTACCTTGATTGATCGTCTCTCTCTCTCTCTCTCTCTCTCTCTCTCTCTCTCTCTCTCTCTCTGTGTGTGTGTGTGTGTGTGTGTGTGTGTTTTAATACTGCCCCAAATGTTCCTTTTCAGAGTGAGGCGGACTGGAGAACGGACTTTCTGTCTTCTGCAGCCTTTGGGAGAAGGAGGGGGGCAGTTTGTTAACATCTGGATAAATGGCTGCTTGTGGTGATTTAACATGACTTGAAAGCAATCTGTTCCTAAATCCTCTTATTATTGTGGCATGGCTCGGGGCTTGGCGAGAGGCGTTTTTCCGAGCAATTGAGGAAAAATAGGAAATCCAGATGGGATAATAAAAACAGGCATTTTCCAAAGCAAGAAAAGGGAAGAAAGGGGCTGGGGGAGATAGTCCAAGTAGGATAATTAACCAATAAACAAGGGGCAAGGAAAACACACAAGCATCTCTTCGGGGAAATTCATGTGGGTGAAGAAAATAAGAAATGTTAGAGTAAAAGATAAGAAAAAGCCTGGAAAGCATACTGCCCATTGACCAGAATGGAGTACCGCACAGCAGCATAGAGCCAGAGACTGCATCTCCCATCGCCCTAGACCCGTGGTTCCCAATGTGGGGCACATGCCTCACAAGGGGGCAATTTGATTTATAAGGGGGGCAATTTGAGAATGAGTTATTAACAGTCAATGGCCTTTTAGGCTTCCTCCACGTGAACAGGAGTTCACTTTTTGAATAATAAGAATTATATGTCACGGGGGCAGCGCACCAGGATTTTGGGTGGAGCATGGCCCAAAAAAAAGGTTGGGAACTACTGCCCTAGACCTATTGGGCATGCTCATGACTGACGCTGATGGGAGCTGGGAGTCCAGCAACATCTAGAGGTTCCCCATCCCTGGCAAAGAGACTCCTGCAGACTTCCTCACTATAATTGCCTCTTCCGTGTTAGGTCTCTGCTAAGATTGAGGGCACAAGGAGAAGGGGACAACTGAGGACGAGATGGTTGGACAGTGTTCTCGAAGCTACAAACATGAGTCTGACCAAACTGCGTGAGGCAGTGGAAGACAGGAGTGCCTGGGAAAGATTGAGGGCACAAGGAGAAGGGGACAACTGAGGACGAGATGGTTGGACAGTGTTCTCGAAGCTACAAACATGAGTCTGACCAAACTGCGTGAGGCAGTGGAAGACAGGAGTGCCTGGCGTGCTCTGCTCCATGGGGTCACGAAGAGTGGGACACGACTAAACGACTAAACAACAACAATAACCCTGTTAGTTTGAGGGTGCACAGAGGCAATGTGCACAATCTCAGAGCTACAGCCCCTCCCCAAGGACAAAGGAACAGACTTCCCAGCCAGTTAGTATTATTCATTCGTTCATTTTATTTGTATGCTGCTTTTCCACACACACAGAGAGAGACACACACACATCATGTTCAAAGTGGTTTGTTACAATAAAGAAACAAGATATATTTTAAACAAACACTACAAAATAATTTCATGATAACAGAGCAAAACATAACAATAGCAATTTCATAACATAGCAAAATAATAACTTCTTAAGAACATAGTAAAACAATGGCAAATATAATAACATACAAAGACATATTTAAGTACTATAAATATAACAAGATTACTTAAACCACATGCAGCATGCAATAGCAAAAATAACAAGGGAGCATCACAATTTCACTTTAGTCCTAGAAACGTCCCTCCCGTGATGTTGCTCACACTCCCTCTCTTTTGGCAGCTTCTTATAAGGCTTCCAACCCCTCCCATGATTATAGATGTAGTGCAGTTGGTTTTTTATGTTTTGTAAGCAACTTAGAAGCCATCTGGGCACTAAGCGGTAGATAAATTAATTAGCATAGTAATCACAATCCCTTCACAGGTATGCTATAGATCAGGCTTCCTCAACCTCGGCCCTCCAGCATGTTTTGGGACTACAACTCCCATCATCCCTAGCTGACAGGACCAGTGGTCAGGGATGGTGGGAATTGTAGTCTCAAAACATCTGGAGGGCTGAGTTTGCCTATGCCTGATATAGATCTTGTAGTTTTTGGCATCTGTCTGTCATGGGAGACAATGGAAGTGTGTACCTCCAGGGATGAATTTGAACCACTGGAGAGTTACAGCGGCTGATATGAGAGAGGTATGTGGGCAGGAAGGACAAACCATATTAATTCAGGGGTGAGTAACCTCAGCCCCTGGTCCCAGCCTGTCTGGCTTAAAGGATACTCCCCACACCACATCCCCTACTCAAGGCATTGGCAAACTTGGCCAACCAGATGTTTTGAGACTACAATTCCCATCATCCCTGACCAGTGGTCCTGTTAGCTAGGGATGATGTGAGTTGTAGTCTCAAGACATCTGGGGGGCCAAGTTTGCCTATGCCTGCCCTAATCAGCCACACTCACTTGCACCAGGCCCCTTACTAGCCCTGCTTCGCACACTCCCTCACCTGGTTGGAAACTGCCCTTGAAATCTGAATGTGCTTTTGCTTGTTTCCTGGGATGGAGAGGGGTGTGTGTGTGTGTAGAAAGGTTAAAAAAAATACAGTCCCCCCCCTCCATCTATTTTTGCCTCTCATGCCACCTACCACAGGCTCGTGGCTACCAGAAGGTTAGCCAGAAGATGACCTTCAGGTTGATAAAGGGTCCCTTAACCCTTATGAAGAATGCAGTGGCATTGTGTCCCCAGAGAACATGCTTGTCCATTAGTACTTAGATGCCATCCTGAAGTGAATGGAGAGTAATTTGTGGGATGGAGGGTTTTATTTTTACTTTATATATAAAAAAGCTGGGTGTTGTAGGCAGAGAAAATTGAGTCACTTTATCTTTCACTGTACTTTTCTAGATGGTTATAGTGAATTATGTCCTCCAGATTGTTGTCACCGTATCTGCATCTTCATCATTACAGTGCTACCCCAGGTTACATATGCTTCGGGTTACATACGCTTCAGGTTACAGACTCCGCTAACCCAGAAATAGTACCTTGGGTTAAGAACTTTGCTTCAGGTTAAGAACAGAAATCGTGTTCCTGCAGCACGGCAGCAGCAGGAGGCCCCATTAAATAAAGTGGTTTTTCATGTTAAGAACAGTTTCAGGTTAAGAACGGACCTCTGGAACGAATTAAGTACTTAACCCAAGATACCACTGTGTTATTATTTTTCTAATTCTCCATAGGAAAGATCTAATTATACCTTAATTCAAATTTTATTTATGATGGAGATAGGTTGGAAAGCTTATAGGTTTTTAAACACACACACAAAGTTCTCGTATATAAGCATTTCGTATGAAGTCGCACAATCTTGTGCACATTGTGCCTAAATACCTAAACTATGGTCTTGTGCAATTCCCTGTCATTTCCATGTAGTTCCACAGGAGGGTAAGATCTCAGTAGATTATACCTAATATGCATAAACAAGGCTTTGGGGTCCACGAAGACTCTGGAACTGCAAAGGGCATTCTGCGCATCTCTTATCTTTATTTGTCCAAGCTCCATGGTTGGGCACTTCATTCTCATATAGTCTCAGTTGTCAGACAGGGCTGGGCAGCATTTTGTTAAGCTTTAAATAGTGAATTAGAAGCACTGATGATCTGAAGCAGCCCAAATGCAAAATGACAAATTGCACTTAGGCAATACATGAACAAGAAAATGATTTATGGATTTTCACGATGGTCTGAGCAAATGAAGGCAATATGAATTATACATCCTAATGCTCACTATATCATTTTCTAATAATACTGTTGCAGCTGCGAGGCTGTACATGGCTCTCTTCAATAGGGGCTATTGATTAATAAGAAGTCCAGGCCTAGTTTTACAGCACATATGCCTTCTCTCCTCTCTCTCTCTCTCTCTCTCTCTCTCTCTCTCTCTCTCTCTCTCTCTCTCTAAATGCCAGCACCAAATGAGGTTTTCTATTTTATTTTATTTATTTCTTCATTTCTGAGGCAAGTGACGAAAATCGACCCCACCGCCACAGTTCCTGTCAGCTCCTCCATATGTCATCGTTTTAGGCAGCAATTACTTCGACAAATGAAGACTAATCTTTTGCAAAACCACATTTTGCTCCATGCTGCCACTTAGAAATGCAAATAAATGGTTCCAGGCTGGTAAATCCACCTTTCAGATTGAAATGGAAAATTAGCAACAGATTCCTCCCTCCCTTGTAAAGTGCCTTGGTCTTCTTGATCATCATTTATCTCCTTTGCCTCCAGAAAAATGTTTTCTTTGCAATTATCTAAGACTTTGGCATCACGAAAAGATGATTTCAGCACATGGTGTTATTCAACTACCCTTTGTTTTTGTAATGGAACATGTGTGCCAGCCAATAGAATTTCCTCTCCCCTTTATTTTCTGGGAATCATCAATGTCCGCAAGACCTAAATATCCATCATTTTCTGATTATTGTCAATGATCTGAAGAACAACAGGTGGAAAATGTCAAAATCTCTCTTGACCTTGGACTTTACTTTCAGGGGTATTAAAAATGAAAGCAATTGATTGATATACCACTGCATTTTCCCACTTCAACGAATGGGTTAATCCATGGAAGAAAGCATTCTTGAGTAATTTATATATCCCTGTATGAAAAAAGTCCTTTGAATACATGATTCTTAGAGAACTTTTTCATACCTTACCATTTTCTTTTTTCAGGAGTCAGCAGTTACTCTGCCTTTATGGTGCCTGGAATGGATGCATCAAACAGATTTAAGTGTGAACATGAAGTAATTCACACCACTATTTTCTAACTACAACATGACCCTTTGGCAATCTTATTCTGGAGGATATCCACATGGAACCCATTTTTGTGACTGAATCAAAATAAGCCCAGCAGCCTGTGCAAACGAGATGTCACACAAACTGGACAGAAATCACTTCATGGTGAGAAAGCAGTTGTAACTTGCTGAAGAATAGTGGCAATGTGGCCGCTAGAGAACAGTCTCTTAATCAACTTTTCACATCCCTTTCATGGGAAAATCTAATTTGTATTAAATCATTGATTCTGAGTTGAGACAAGACAATAGTAATTTGTAATTGTGACTAGTATTAGTGAAAGGATATAAACCTCAATGCCCTCGAGAGACGAAAAGATTTAAGCTTAACCCAAATATTTTGAAATAGATTTTGTTTAAATGGGATGGAAGACAGTATTTTACATCTGTGTATCTTTTGTTGTAAAATAGCTATTCCAATGAAGATCTTTTGTGTGGAGAAAAGGCAGGGGTCGCAAGTAAATCATACTCAAATGGTTTATTAGTTGCCTAGACATGTTTAATTTGTATTAATTTGTAGCTCTCCTTTCTTCTGGCAGGGCTTTGGAAGAAGCATAAATTCAAGCAGGTAATGGAGATGGTGTGATGGAGAACATTTCACATAAGGACAGAAGATTATCTCTACTAGATCAGATTAAAGGCCTATTTAGTCCAGCATCCTGTTTTCTGCAGGGGCTAGCCACATGGCTGTGGGAAGCCAACAGACAAAAGCCCTCTCCTGTTCTTTCTCAGGAATTGGTACGCATGCCTCTGATATATAACTATCATGTCTAGAAACCATTTACCTGCTGTATTTGTGCCTATCAGATAAAGGCAGGGACAATCAGACTTTACTCTTGCATAGATTATGATAATGATTTTACTAGAATCTCCATTGTGTTTCTAATACTGTTACAATGATGCTCTTGGTTAAGCATAACCAAGGAACTGCATTAGGGGTAACAGCCTGTCAGTGATCTCCTCTTTTTATGAACTTCGACTTTACTTGCAAAGCAGACATGACCGGAATCACTGTGAAAATTGGATTGCAAGAAATGATAATACTGAAACTATTTGGCTGTCAAAAGATCGCTAAATGCAGAGACTTTCTCTGCTTGAAGTATCATAAGCAAGCTAATAAAGTTTGCACCAATCATCCTTGAATGTGGACTTTGAAAGCTCTGGCAAATACTTTCCCCCTAGTACCTTCTCTTTAGTTACACAATAATATTGACCAGAGGAGGAAATTACTTGAATTCCCCAAGTGACCATGATGCACAAAAACATGGCAATTCAATTTCAGACTCATGCAACAAATCAGGGGTTGTTTGTTTTCAGTCCTTACAATTTACAGAAATATTGCACATTATTACTCCTTTAGGTTCAAGACAGGTTCTGATTCATTTGACTGAATAAGTAAATGTTTCTTAGGTTTCTCTTTTTAGTCTGACCTGACAGTATAGCATGCTACATAAAGTAAGGATTTCAAACTAGTACAATCTTACTGAATACTCTTTGAAGCATATATGCTCTCAGTTACAATGGGAAATTCTGCTCTCGCTGTAGTTTCTCCATTAACATTAGATGTGGTCTTCCTAGCAGTTCTAAGAGAAATCTCTAGGGTGTCATTACTCAGCTTAATTTTAATTATCTAGGCTTACAAAACAAACAAACAAACACCCTGGTCCTGTTTCAAGAGGATTAATAACTGCTCTTAGTGCAGGAAAGATTACCAAAATCAATGATGTGATTAGGATTGTAAATAAGAAGAACAAGCTGTTGCCATATTTTAAGAAGTTGCCTTTATGTCTAACAGCTCAGTCTACATTTTGCTGATTGGGGTGGGGCTTAGGCAAACAAACAAACAAACAAACAAACAAACAAACAACACCTTGGTTCAAACCTTGTGGACTGACTGAACAGGAAATTACCTGGAAGGCCAAATTTAAGGTTAATTGTATGAGATGGAAAAGGTTAACTACACCTGTTACCACCTATTCTCCTAAAGTGTTCTTAATTGCCAGTGATGAGACAAAAAGAAAAAAAATGGAAATCTACATTCCTCTGCAGTCTTGCAAGGAAGTAGGCCTCATTGACCTGTATGAAGTCTGCATAAATAGGCTTACTCAGACTGCACAGCTCAGTCCATTGTAAGGAACTCTATGGTATATAGCACAGAGTGGGTTGATGTCAAGCTTGTCTGTACTTGAGACTGGTCCATTAGGATGATTGAGGAAGTGCCCTATCAAGCACATCTGCCCACTGCCTCCTGACATCAGGAGGCAACATGTGGGTCCAGAGGGAAAAACTGTGCCACTGTCAGCCAGCCAGAGGTGAGTGACCCAGGGTAGGGGACTCCATTGCACTGCTCCTCTCCCCATCAGCCACCTGAGGCAAAAGTCTCACATTGCCTTTTGATAGATCTGGCCCTAACCCATAGTTACATAATTAATACTGGTCTGGGGTAAATGTTTCAACTTACAAAAAATCCCCTTCCACCTCTGATTTCTTAATGTCTTGCCCTAAACCCTGTCACAATTATAGGGAGTGGAATGATATAACACTTGTTTCATGAGTGGGGTGTGTTCGAGAAGAGAAAATACATTTTCTTCTCTTGAACTTCTAATGAGTGCATGTGTTACTTTAAGCCACATAAGGAGACTGTTTGTCTAGTAATCTAGCCAGCTCTTGCTTGTATTCTCTTTGTCCAGTTTAACTCCACCACTAAACCTGAGCCATTTTTTGGTTCTCTTTCCCAACATGTTGATACCAGATATCTGCCTTTTCTCTCTCTCTTCTCTACACATCCTGTAAATAGTTCCTGTATGAATAATGCCCTTGTACTCCAGAAACTACAAGCAATTATTTCAATCTGATTTACCCAAGATGGTATGTTTTCTGTCCTTACTATTGTGGCCTAGTCAGTAACGCTGTTAGGTTCAAATTTTGGTAGCTTAGGTTTGTGATCTATCTCCTGCTTTAGTGGCAAAGCAAGCCCTACCATTAGAAAGAGCAAGGTGGCTGTCTCAGCCAGCCAGTGCTGAGCACAGGGCAGCGGCAGTAAGGTGCTGAAGGACATACATGGGTTAAGCTAGCCTTCTTCCCCTGGGAATGATGGAGGACACTGCCCTGGCCTCAGCATTAAAGTCAGATTCAACAGCCAACCCAGTTGGCTTCTGTATATCAACTGGGGGATGAGACACCCTCTCGTCCTTTATTTCAGGTAATAAAACACCTTGTCTGGTCCTGCTTGTGAACTCTGTATACACAGGGAGACTCTCAAAATAGGACTGGAGAAGAAACCTTAATTCCATGCTACAGCTTAAATGTTAGTTAAATGAAGTTAATGATGCTTATCTTTCTCCAAACAGGGGAGTGTGTGAGAGTGCACAATCGTGTGTGTGTGTGTGTGTGTGTGTGTGTGTGTGTGTGAAAGAGGATGTTCTGGGATGTGTGCATCAATATAAATAAGAGTGACAGAACTGGGTTATATCTTTAGTATTCCAAATGACATTTTGATGATGCCTGATGACAAGGTGACAAAGGTTTTCCAAAGTGACTAGTCATCTCAGGTTTTGCATTGTTTGAGTGCCTCAATTGAGTCCAGCTTGCCTAGAAATACCCCTTTCCTTTCCTTTCCTTTCCTTTCCTTTTCCTTTCTTTTTCCTTTCCTTTCCTTTTCTCTCTAGATGAGACCCCGAATGGTTAGCTATTATCAAAATAGCACTGTAAATAGAAAATAATGAGGCTGATGACATTCAGCCACCCGAGTTTTGTAGAAACCCAGCCAGTTGGGTGGGGTATTATTATTATTATTATTATTATTATTATTATTATTATTATGACTACACTGATCAAAACACAAAGGTGTGTGTGTGTGTGTGTGTGTGTGTGTGTGTGTGTGTGTATATATATATATATATATATATATATTAGAATCATAGAGTTGGAAAGGATCACGAAGATCATCTAGTCCAAACCCCTGCAATGCAGGAATCTTTTGCCCAGCATGGGGCTCTACACAACTACTAAAGATGCAGAAGCCCTGACCCCTTTTGCATCTGACCACTCTAATAACACAACTGTAGTATCAAATCATATGTATGTTGTCAAAACACTTCATTTCCCCCTATACATCTGCTTTTCAATCTGTCTCTCTCTCTCTCTCTGGCATTGGTGAATTTATAAGGAGAGGAGAAATGAGAGCAATAGAAAAACAAGAATAGGATCGTTGCATTCATTTTGTTCTCTTGTATGAAAGTGTTCTCTAACAACAAAATGTTTCTTACATGCCTGTTTCATTAATGCAAATAAGAAATAAAGGAACCTGACTGAGCATGTATCACTGTTTGCCTAATGAACGAGTTTTCCCTTGTGAACCTTGTCTGCCCTGCAGCTAAGTGGCCTGACGTGGTGAGTATAACTTTATCGTCGGCAATTAGAGTCCATTCTTTTATTTTCATTTTAATCTTTAGGGTTAATTCATTTTTAATCAGGAAATACTTAACTAAAACACAAAAGCGTATTGTGCATGGACCTGCTCAAGCTTAGCACATGTCACAGCATGGCTTTTATAACCTAATTTAGTTTTGTAGATCCGAGGCAGTATCCTGGCAGCAAAGGGTGTGTCGAGGTCAAGGAGTCAGCAGACAGCAAGAACTGATATCTTTGTTGCTCAGATTGGTGAACTAACCTGACCCAGAAGATCTTACAAAGGTCAGGATGAAGCATTTGTCCTGTGGATTTCCTTGGCTGGTGATCTTTGTTGCCTGCAATTAGGGATGCTTGAGGAACTTTTGATCTTTGCAAATTACAGGACGAACAGATCTAACGTGCACCTCCCAGACTAATGTGCAGATAACGACAAAGTTATCCATTGGATTTCTCATTTTTCTGAAGGTTGCCACACACATTTTGGCTCAAAAACATACCAGATATGCAGTTAATATGTGTATTTTGAGATAACATACATTTTAAATTACCTATTTAACTGTGAATTGTTGTGTGTTTAATGAAGAAACAAGATGGGATGCATGCACGGGTAAACATCCCTTTTATTATAAAGCAGCCTTTCTCAACCTTACTTCCCCAGATGTTGTTAGACTACAACTCCCATCATCTCTGACTGCTGGCCCTGCTAGCTAGGAACGATGGGAGTTGAGGTCCAACAATATTTGGAGACACAAGGTTGAGAAAGGCTCTTCTAGCCTGTGCTTCATTGGTTCATAGGGTGGGCTACAGTATAAAACATATGCAACAATTACACAAAGAGTCAAAGACAAGTCTAAAAATATAAAGCAATGGACAAAGACGTGAAACAGTCAGTAATGGAAGAAGCTGGAAAGCCAGTTATTTAACAACCAGTCTTGCAAGAATGCATGGGTGAATGGTATGGCGTCAGTCAGTACAGAGAAGCAAATGGCATCAGTGCCAGATGCACTTCAGAGGGGAGAGCATTCCACAATCACAGTACCACCATAGAGGTGCCAGCACTGTACTGTGTCACAATATGCCTCACTCAGGGCCAGCCTGATCATAAGCCTTGCTGAGGCAGTCACCTAAGTGGCAGGCTCAGGAGAGCTGGCAGCCGTGACAGACCTGAAAAGGAAAGAGGATAGGCATTCTCCTTTACTTTTTCCACTCCTTCAGTTGCAGATGCAGTGCTGCAAGGATCTTGTCACTGCCCGCCTTGGGAGGGATCTGGGCCTGGTGGCCCCACAGGCTTTCTCCAGTTGTCTCAGCCTGTGGCTTCCTACAGAGGCCACCACAGGTCAGAGGTGGAGAAGACACACGAGGGCCCCAGCTGCTACCATTCCTGTCACTGTCATCTGTGCCAGCCCCCAGCACTGGCCCCAGCCAATGAGCGAGGGGCTTTCCTGCTGCTGAGTCACCTCAAGTGGCAAAATGTCTTGGAAGTGGCCCTGGCTCCACCCAAAGGTGCATCAACAAGTAGGATCTGGGCCAGATATGGAGTGATATTTGAATGTGGCATAGAGTGATATGTGTATTGCTATAGTGGTTCACTCCAGGTAAGGGTATACAGGGTACGTTTCTCCTGTTTATAACTCAGGCAACCACTTTAGTGCCTGTACAGCCTAATACACATTTCTTTTTCTTTCCCACCCACCACCCAATCATGGTTGAAATCTGAACAACATTCTGGTTACTTCATTGAACGTGGAGAGTGCAAATGAGGCTCAAAGGCTCATAGAACATTTCAATTGCTTGCTTTTCTTTCAGGGTTCACATTACTCTGTCAAAGATAGCACAAATGAACTCTCATTATTTATCATTATGAAAAT